AGCAGAGTCAGATCGTTAGTCAATTTCAGTTCGATGGCAGCGTGTTTTTGGGTTGCGGAGTGCGTGACACAGTGGTGTGGAGTACTTCGTATGTTCTTGTGGTTCGTTTTGATGTTGTTTGTCCTTTTGTGGCTTCTCTCGCATAACTAGTATGACGGTCAGATCATGTTTCAAAAGAATCATAGATGATTGTTTTACTCTAATGTCACACTTAAACACACAGTTCATAGAATGACTATTAATTAGTTGAATATATGACTAAACAACACCTGAGTGTTATTAAGGACATCATGGCATCATTCTGTACTTTGTTGCTTGCGCTTTACAAATTCGTCGCTGCTTGAGGTTTATCAGCGGATTGGCCATCCTGAGGTTTCTCCGGAGCGATCATTGGAAAGTTCCACTCAACACCTAGTGGAGGAGCTGTCATTCCCGGAGGTGCCAGTTTTGCTTTGGGAGCCGGTACTGTCTGCTTTGATTTTCTTTTCCAAAGCGAAGGAAATTTGACTAGAAACGGATAATAGGGATCAGTACTTGTTGCCGTAATACTTTTAAATTCGTTACCTTGTTTGAACGAACTCGTACACAACAGCAGCATCGCTACTCCAACAACTATGATTACCACTGCTATAGCGATCGCCGTTCCGGAACTGGCGGATGCAGTGGTCAGTGTACCTTCGGATAACGGTGGAGCCATTTTGGCACACGCGCTCACAGCCAGTAATTGACAAACTAGAGTGAACAGATGCGCAAATCGTGAGACGTCGATTACAACTAGCTTGTTTTAATTATGAAACATTTGAGCCCTTTCGGAATTGATTGCCATTATCACTTTAAACTATGACTGCTGTCAGCTTTAAGGTACACTTTGAAATTGCTTAAAATATTGAGGCATTTTAAACTATGGGCAAAATAAAATTTGTTCCGATGTTCAGGTGTGGATACAGCAAACGGTCGTTTTTCAATTCCTCTCGCAAATATTGCAATTCATATGCTAATATCGGATTTGCAGAGGAAAAGGCACCGCCCCGTTGCGTCTAGCCGCTGTTTGAGATCATCTGAGCAGGCCACGGCTTCAAGAATTTTAAGCATCTGCAGTTCATCGGATACAGCACCTCATATTTGAGTTCGAAAGGGATTGGGCATGTTCGAGCACCAACAAAATTTGCCACTATCTATAGGCTAATATATAGACAAAATAAAATATAACCCCGACGTTCAGGTAAGATCATCCTTAGTTTATAGCCAATGGCAACTATGACTACTATTGCCATTACTGAAAGTGACTATTCAGCAAAAGCGCAGAATTTTAATCCCTCTTTGCTGCTCATAATTAATTTTCTTGCGATTATGCTCTGTTCCAGTAGAATCGAAAACAACATATGTGGAGCATTAGATCAGCCATGTCGTATCCCAGTAGCAAGCTTTATGTTTAAATTACTCTGTTGCACCGTATCAAATGATGATGATCGATTTTCTTGAATATTGTGCTCGATTCGACACCTAATATTTTGCGCTGTACCTACATATATTCATTTTTTACATTCAAAAATGTA